TAATAATAATAATAATAATAATAATAATAATAATAATAATAATAATAAATACGAATAATAATTATAATTACAACTTACTATAATAATAACAACTTTATTTAAGTGTCAAATGTATTTAGCACTATTAAATGTGCTAACTGGGAACACTATCAATAAATAAACAATAATTATTATTTCAAATACAACATAACCTAATAAGAAACCCAACTAGTTGGAGGATGACCAGTTGGCTATTTACACAACTCGGTTGAGGAGTTGAACTCAGGGCTACCGAGAACAAATCCAGATAGCAGTAGGGTGGAGGATTTGAACCAGGGACCTCCAGATTTCAAATCCAGCGCCCTAAACAACTCGGCCATGCCACCTCCAGTCTGTCTGTCTGTTTGCCTACCTCCTGGTTGGTCTGTTATCTGTCTCTCTGTTGGTCTGTCTGTCTGTCTGCCTGTCTGTGTGTCTGTGTGTCTGTCTGTCTTGGTAACCAGTGAACCATTATCTTTTAATAAACACTTTTTATGGAGAAAACAAATGTTTATGACCCTGATCTCTCCCATTCTAGTGAATTTCTGTCGTACAACAGTCCCTCTTCTTCTTGGTGTGGCACAAGCGCTTGGTGTATCAAGTGTGTACGTGTCCGACCCCTCCCTGATCACACAATTACTGTTTCCTAACCACTCTGGTCAAGCCACACCCAAGGAACCTCAGTTACCCAGGGCATTAAGTCGATCTGCCCCAAGACGATTCTTGAGTTTTCCTCAAGGCAAGAGAGATGATAGTTACCATTTGTCTGATGAACAGTTGAATAACCTTATCACTAAGGTTAGTAATAAATTAATTAAGGCTTGTTCATGTTCAATGTAAGAGAGTTTTCAAGCAGTTTTGAACAAATAGTAACTTAGTAAAATATGTTGTTGGTTGCCCAACCTTTAGATCAGAGATAAACAGGATATGTTTTCATTTCAAGCACTGCATTTAGAGTGTTTTCAATTGAAGAATAAAGCTATTCACAGTTTGTATTTGCTAAAAAAAAGTTAATTTCGCTTTGTTTCCTTATCAGAAGTAAAACCAAAACCAGTTGTGACTCACTTGACAATGTTGTCCAATGCTTTCCATCAGCAACACATATTTGCATAAAATTTTACTTGATTCACTGGATTGTCTGTGTTCTTTGTGATTGGCTAGAGTGATAAGTTTGGTTATACAATACTTACCGTATGTACAAAATTATTAAAAATCACTCTTTCTAGATATATGTATGATATATATTTTGTTCTTTTCTTTGACCTAAGAATAATTATATTAAAGAAGCCCAGTCACAATATTCTGAGTTATTTTGGCCTCGTACAAAATTACCTTTAAATTGAAGGAAACTGGAAAATAGTTGGTTATGGACTAAAGATAGAAAAACACCAAAGAGATAATAATAAACCATTTAGGAACAAGGATGGTTAAGGATGGAGACGATTAACACAGATTACAAGTGGAAAACTTGAAAAATTTATGATGAACTTTTCAAGATATGTAAACCATGATATAGCTCCTTTAATTTTACCAAAACTTTAAGTAGATGTTGAAACCAATTTGATGATGTATGTGTACCAACTTACCAACTTTTTTCTTTATAGGTTGAGCAATTGATTAGTCCCCAAATTCTTCAAGGTCTAGACAATGTCTTGTCAGACTGCCTACAGGTAAGATTCTATTTTTTACAGTACATTTTACATGACAATTTCAGAGTAAAAAATGTACCACCAACACACTGGGAGACTTTAAGAGGTGTAGTAGATTATTAGAGGTGTTAGTAGTAGACTTTTAGAGGTGTAGTAGACTATTAGAGGTGTTAATAGTAGATTTTTAGAGGTGTAGTAGACTTTTAGAGGTGAGGTGTAGTATACTTTCATAGGTGTAGCAGTTGTTTAGAGGTGTACAGTAGTAGACTTTTTGAGGCGAGTAGCCATGGTCTTCCAGTTTGCCTTGTTATCAGTAGGTTTAATAACACTTTTTACTAACAGTTGTCATTCCTTATTATTATTATTTTGTTTTCCTGCAGGCTGGAGCATTACTGAACAAATTTCCATTCCAGTCATTCAGTGAAGCTATAATGTTATCCATGGTGACATTATTGAGAGATCTCTGTCAGAATACTCCAGGTAACAGCTTGCTAAGTGTAGCGTACAGTGTAGAGTGTTTGACAGGTCACAGGTCACAGTTCAAGGGAAAAAAGTTCTTTAAGGTCGGGTAATTTTATTTTGGGTCAGGGAAAATTGTCATTTTGAAGAAAAGTCACAGAAATTTGAGAGCATTTTGCATGGCTTATTTAATACCATTGAAGGCTGGAAGTAATATTTGGGGTCATTGTGATCTCAACAGGTAAATTTTATTTTTACTGGGGAAAAATCAGGGAATTTTGAAAACATCTTGAATTATTTGAATTATAGTTTGTCAGGCTTCAGACTGAAGCAACTGCTTGCTAAAAGCTTTAGGTGATCTTATTTCATAATGTAGTCAAAAGATGGCTTGCCTGGACGGCTTAAGGGGGTACTTGCATTCATGAGGAGAAAGGCCATCTACTGAATTTATTTATTACTAATTAAAGTTAAAACAGGTGGATTTTAATTTTGTTATAATTGGTGATCATCCAGGTATTTCTGTGAGTGTTGCAGCAAGAGCCCATGAAGTTGGAAAGGTGGTTTTCACAACAGTGAAAGCAGAATTTCAAAAGAAGTCTGAGAATACTGCAGTGTCATTGCCATGGAAACTTCAAACTGTTTCGGCCAGCATCGATTTAATGGTGTGGACAGCAGCTTTGCAAGAGGAGCAAGGTGCTTTCTCCAAGCTGTAATCATTTGTTTGTAGACCACCATCATTATTTTGTTAATCGAAAAAGTGGGCTGATTAATTTTATTCCATGACTAATATTGGAACGTATTCTATTTAACAAATTGATGTGCATGTTTCATGAGTCTGTTATTGATCATGAATTCCATCAAAGTATTGACTAAGCACAGTAGCTGTGGATTGCCGAGTGGATCCACAGACTACTTTGACAATGTTATAACGAAATTCATTGTCAGTAGCAGTACAGACGCATGAAAAACTGACGTCAATTTGTTTTTTACAATTATAACAAATTGTCAACTTGTCTGCTTTCATTTGCCGTGTCAGGATTGCATAAACTATGTCCACTTAGTGACTGAAAATTAGCCAGTGTGTGTGCAAGAAGTTCTGCAGTTACTGTAAAATTATTTATAGCAATGCTTCATTTATTTCACTTTCAAATGAATTTTTGTCCAGTTTATTGGGGCAGTGTAAATGTAATTATTTAATGGTTAGTGTTTGTGGTCTCTTTTTCAGATGGTGACACACTTTGCCAAAATATTTCAGAGTTCTTGTGCTCCAATTTAGCAGTTTCCTTGGCCCAGAAAGGCAGTTGTCTCTTCATATTATGCTGTTTAGAAGGCCTTGCTACACTGGCAGAGAAAATACCATCACTAACAAGGTAAAGAAAAAAAACAAATATTGTAAATAAACAAATGAACATTATTTACACGTCAGATTTGAAACACAAAATTAACTTACAAATCTCTTTATTTTTGTGAACAATAATCTGATTTCAACTAGACTTGGCAACAATGGGGCTCTAATAGCCTCTGGGCTTTTATTAATATTTATAGTTTCTCCTCATGCCTGTACTGTACTTATTAAATTATAATATTCTAGTTCTTTGCATATTTTTCTATGCTTTGTTAACATTCCATTTTGAAAATATTAAAATCCTAACATAGCACAGATGTTTAGGGCAATAAAACGAAAGAAATAGCATTGCAGTTGAGAGATGCATGTAAATTGTTTGAATTTCTTTTTGTAGTCCTGTAGTTAAGCCTCAGAGCCACATTCAAATTTTAATATTACTTTGTTAAAGATGATGTAACAGTTACAGCCTCATTGATTTTGTTGATTTCATCTTTTGTAGGCCTGTGCTCAACTCTCTGAAAGATTTTCTCCTTCAGCCTGCTCCTCTGCTTGTTAAGTTGTCTGAAATCGCCGAGAAGCCGACAGCAGCAAACATTGTGATGACAGTGTCATCAGAAACCAGTGTCAGTTGTCTCACAGTCGGTCAGTCATCTGGCTGGAAGAAAGACGCAGAAGATTCTCCTTATCACAAAGTTAGAAGGGTTGCACTGGACAGTATATGCAGGTGCGAATAAATAAATAAATAAATAAATAAATGAACAAACAAAAAATAAGGAATTGGAGAACATTTTCATCCACTGTTTCCAGATTGAATTAGAAGTGTTAGTTTTTGTGGAGAGAGGTAAACCAGAGAATCCAGAGAAAAACCCTCAGAAAAACGTGAGAACCAACAAAACACTTCAGTCCACTTATGATGTCGGATCCAGGATTCGAACCCAGGACACATTGGTGGGGGGCGAGTGCTCAACCCACTGCACCATCTCTGCTCCCGCCACCTGCTCCTGCCTGTCTGTAATAAAATTACTGTAGCTTCATTGTCAGTAACATGTGCAATATACTTGTCTTACTCAAGGACATAACCCTATAACGTTTTATCATAATTTTCTAATTTATTAGTATTGTTGCCATGATTACAATGTACTTGCAACGTTTTGTGTTAGGGCTCTCAAATCAGGGCAAGCCATTGATGAGAACTGTGTCCAAGCATTTCTGGCATCTGTAGCCAACAGACTCTACATATCAGAAAGCAGTGATGGCAATTCTACTCTGATATCAACTAGTGCCATCCTTACATTGGGCTATGTGGCTTTCATGCTTCACTCAGTACCAAAGACAACAGAGTCCGTTCTCGCAATCCTTCAGCAGAGATTCTGCCATCCTCCGTCACCTCTCGACCCTCTGATTGTGGAACAACTGGGTTATCTGATTCTCAATGGATCGGTAAGGTTAACTGTGCTACTTTAGAGTGGTTTTCAATGAAGTGTCGTAAAACCAGAAGCATTGAACCAGGTACTTACCAGGTAGACTACTCAGCCAATCTCAAACCGTAGTAAAACCAAAACCAAAGTAATAGCCTGTCGTGAGTGATAACTTTCGACACTCAATTGAAAATTGCCCTTTTACTGGTGTAATTTGAGTGCACATGTACAGTCACACACACACACACGTCACATTTTGAAAGTCTCGTCATAAATTTGCCATACTTTGACACACATGTAGTAATATAACTCCTTGACTAGAAATGGTGGAGTTTTGTCCAAGCTGCAGCTACAATTTGTCAATTTGTCAATTAAATTTTCAATAATATTTGTTATTTCATTGTACATTGTGACACTTTATTTACTGTTTTACTGTATAAATGATGAGTGTTGTGTGAACATTCTGTCACTTTTACTGTGCTGTAATAAAAACACAAATAGATAAGTGTACTTTTTTGTTAAATACATATTTAACTTATGAATTTAGAGTTCTCTCAAGTAACTTACTAGATGTTATAAGTTGTAAGTTTTTTAATTTTTAATTGCAGGAACAGTGTTATCAACAGGTCATGGGCATGTTTATGAAGATCACCGTGGATGCAGGTTCAATGGCTTACTCGCCTGAACCATCCATTAATGACAAAACAGAAGGTTATAGGTAAGACTCCAAATAAAAATAATGACCCTGCTGATCAATACAGTCCTTAGCTTAAGGAGACATTCCTGCCAGAGCTCTGGCATGCTCACACTTGGATAGGTTGCAATTTCTCCTCATGACTTTTTCAGTCTTGTAAGAGGCTTTGCCACCAAACAAAAGCAGTTGCGTTCAGGCTAGAGCTGGTCCAGAAATAAGCATCTACATGTAGTCCTGTGCAGGTCTGCCATGTACATGTACATATCGACATTGCTGCAATTCAAAATTCACCAACTAATACATACTGGTAACTACTTATCCTTGCCTTGCCTTGCAGGACAGCTAAGGCCATAAAAAATATATATATGTTAATGGCCCGGTCAATATGTGCCAGCAGCTGGCAATTTTGGTGCCAACAGTAAAGTATTTGCTGCCTCCCTGTGCTTCTTACTAGTCTTGTCCACAACCATTTTGTGGTGGTCATGCAACAGGGAAGGGAGCATTGCATGCCATCCCCAAAATGGTTTTGAAGGAGACTACATGTACATGTAACTTCACACTGGTCTTCACTAATCTTGGTTACCACCAATTAAATCTCTGGCCTTAATCACTTCCCACTATGTCTATTATCCTACTTGCTGTTACAAAACATTTTGACAGGGCTGTACCAAATGAAGATTTTCACAACCAACTGCATAAAAAGTTAGTGCTTGGCTAAATCACATGTATCGTAAGATTGGCTGGTGGGTAAAATAGATGCAATTTACATTCTTTTGTTGAGCACTCTATTTGCTTTGTCTATGTTTAGGCACTGTGGCCTTGCCGTAATCAATGCCTATTCTAATGTGGCTGCAAATCTTCAAGGGGAAGTGCAGTTGCAAGACTACTTAGTGAGGCTTCTGGAGCTGTTTGTGCAGCTGGGATTAGAGAGCAAGAGAGTCAGTGAAAAGGCTCCTGCTGCATTTAAGGTAAAACTGTGTGATTTTGTTCACAGAGTGCTAACAAGTTGTAACATGGTGATATTAAGATAAGACACTTTTTGAGATGATCAAACTTAATGTCAATGAGTGTCACAAAATTCAAGGTCTCAAGAGTCAGTCAGTCAAGCTGATTTCCTGTACTGTAAAAGGCGAGAGACCTCTCTCAAAGCACAAATTTGACACTAGCACAATGCCGCTTCCCTTTGGAATCTCTAAGAAGATGAGGAATTTTCTTTCTTTGGTAAACTATACTTAACCAGGCTCTTGCCTTTTAACTAGTATTTTAAGATCGACCTTTCTTGAGTTAGCAGTGAGATATTTCTCTTTGCAAGCAACATAGCAGTCCTGACCGCAGCCCAAAAAAAAAAAAGAAAAAATATGACTGAGGCCACATCCATGGTTAAATTCTCATACTAGTTATTTCGAATTGTTTTACTTTCCCCCTTCAACAACAACAACAACAACAAAAACAACAGAAATGATACAAACGAGTAAGGCAAGTGCCTTGCTTCGCCTTATACTGGCTTCGGCCCTGAATAGAGTATTATTGAAGTGTTTCCCTGGCAGACATACATCAAAGATTCAAGCCAAAAAGTTTCCATTCTGACGAGTCTGAGATTTTTGAAGTGGCTATGAGTGGATGTTTGGATTTTAATCAATTTGAATTTGGCACGCAAGTAACCAATCAAACACAAATATTAACTAATTTATTATTAATATTTATATTTATTCTTGCAGGCTTCATCAAGTGCTGGAAACCTTGGTGTGCTTATCCCTGTTATATCGATTGTGATGCAGCGTCTTCCAGTGATCAGCGACCCCAAGCCACGCCTTCACAAGCTGTTCCGAGACTTCTGGCTGTACTGTGTTGTGATGGGTTTTGGAGTAGAGGGTTCTGGTATTTGGCCTTATGAGTGGTACGAGGGAGTGTGCCAGATTGCCTCAAAGTCTCCTTTACTGCTTGGAACAGGTCATCTAAGATCAGAACTGATGTACAACTCAGCACTGCGGAATGACTCTGTAGCTCCAGTTAGTGAATTCTTCATTTCCTGAAGTCTTATATTTGCTTACAGCCAGCTTTGCTTCAAACACTCTTACTGGCTATAGACATTACTTATGCACACATACACGAATTTGCTTAATCTTGTGCTGTAGCATGCCCTGTAGAAAACACCAGAACTTTGTAATCTGATTTTGGGGAATCGGGGCTGTAGCCAGTAAAAAGCGAACCGAGGCACTTGTCTCTGTGAAAATATTTTATATCAGGATCTTGAAGAGGCCATGCGTTAAAAAAGGCATATGAAAGAAATGTTTTTGCTTTTCTCGATAATTAATGCCTACGTAAGAATTTCTGTCTGGCTACGTACGACCCTGGGAATCTTTTAATTTTTGAAATAGTATAAATCTAGTTATTGTAGTCATTCAAAGCTTTAATCTAAATCCTCTTCAAAGATACTTTGAAAACACAAAAAAGCGGCCCCCAGCGCACGCTGCTGGGCTACTCACTATCTACAACAGAATAGATAGTGAGTAGCGTAGCCAATTAGAAAATGACATTCGTGATAGAACGCTAGTAGAGTTATACTAAAAATATATAGTTTCCAAAAGTGGTTTTTGCATAAAACTGATTAAGGCGGCTTCATACAATGTAATATATTTAGCCACTTATTGGCTTTTCCTCCTGGAAATTCAATTGTCTAGAATGGATTTTTTTTCTTTATTATTTATCTCCTACCAGGCTGAATTGAATGAAGTCCGCACAAGTCTTTTGGAGACTTTAGGAAATCCAGCTGAGATCGTCACACTGGTCAATAAATTAAATTTTGGACAGTGCACTTACTTGCTGTCAGTGTACCGACTGGAATCTCTCAGGGTTTCCTCGGATCCTGGAAAATTTTATTCCATCTTTGACTACTTAGAAGACAAGGCTATTGAAAAGGATAAAGCTGGTATGTAAAATTGTCTGCTTCTTTTTTAATCATTGGTTAAAGCAGAACCTTTGAGAAGTGGGAGGCGCGTTGGCCACGTGGTTATTGCGCGTGACTCTAGATTGAGCGATCCAGGTTGGAGCCCTGGCCGGGGACATGGCGCTGTGTTCTTGGGCAAGACACTTAACTCTCACAGTGCCTCTCTCCACCCAGGTGTATAAATGGGTACCGGCGAATTTATGACTAGCATCCATCTAGGGGAGGAGTGCAAATATTCCAAGACGCTTCATGCTATAAAAATCGGGATAAGCTCTGGCCTGATGGGCCACTTGGCTCGTATGCAGACTTTACTTTTAATAAGCATGGGCAATTCAACTTGAGGCTACATGTCATGAAACGGATAACTTACAGAAACCTAAATATACATGTAGCTGATTTGCATTATACAGTCACAGTAAGATTTTTTTCTAATTTTATTGGCGCAAAATATGTTGAGAAGCTAAACGTTGTGTGGGTACACATTAATGGTCTTTGATTTTAATTTCTGTGACCGTGACATTTCAGGAATCTGGCAGTGTATATCGGCGGTTGGGGATAAAGTTTTCTCAGTGTTTCTGGGTGTGATGTCCAATAAGCCAAGAACAACAGACAGAGAGACAGAACTGGAGCGACATGCACAGTTTTTGCTGGTCAAGTTTAATCACCTTCAAAAAAGAATCAGACGCGTTGCTGATAAGTATTTATCTTCATTTGTTGACAAGTAAGTTGACAGAGATTCATGAATGTGCCTCCTTTTTTTCGAATTATATACACAGTGTAGTCATCTCCTTTTATTTGGGAAGACACTTATTCAAATTGCATCGCGTCGCATCGCATGTCTTAACATCACATCGCATTGCATCGTATCATATCGCATGTTTTAACATCACATCGCATCGCATCGCATCGCATCGCATCNTTGCCGAGTGGATCCACAGACTACTTTGACAATGTTATAACGAAATTCATTGTCAGTAGCAGTACAGACGCATGAAAAACTGACGTCAATTTGTTTTTTACAATTATAACAAATTGTCAACTTGTCTGCTTTCATTTGCCGTGTCAGGATTGCATAAACTATGTCCACTTAGTGACTGAAAATTAGCCAGTGTGTGTGCAAGAAGTTCTGCAGTTACTGTAAAATTATTTATAGCAATGCTTCATTTATTTCACTTTCAAATGAATTTTTGTCCAGTTTATTGGGGCAGTGTAAATGTAATTATTTAATGGTTAGTGTTTGTGGTCTCTTTTTCAGATGGTGACACACTTTGCCAAAATATTTCAGAGTTCTTGTGCTCCAATTTAGCAGTTTCCTTGGCCCAGAAAGGCAGTTGTCTCTTCATATTATGCTGTTTAGAAGGCCTTGCTACACTGGCAGAGAAAATACCATCACTAACAAGGTAAAGAAAAAAAACAAATATTGTAAATAAACAAATGAACATTATTTACACGTCAGATTTGAAACACAAAATTAACTTACAAATCTCTTTATTTTTGTGAACAATAATCTGATTTCAACTAGACTTGGCAACAATGGGGCTCTAATAGCCTCTGGGCTTTTATTAATATTTATAGTTTCTCCTCATGCCTGTACTGTACTTATTAAATTATAATATTCTAGTTCTTTGCATATTTTTCTATGCTTTGTTAACATTCCATTTTGAAAATATTAAAATCCTAACATAGCACAGATGTTTAGGGCAATAAAACGAAAGAAATAGCATTGCAGTTGAGAGATGCATGTAAATTGTTTGAATTTCTTTTTGTAGTCCTGTAGTTAAGCCTCAGAGCCACATTCAAATTTTAATATTACTTTGTTAAAGATGATGTAACAGTTACAGCCTCATTGATTTTGTTGATTTCATCTTTTGTAGGCCTGTGCTCAACTCTCTGAAAGATTTTCTCCTTCAGCCTGCTCCTCTGCTTGTTAAGTTGTCTGAAATCGCCGAGAAGCCGACAGCAGCAAACATTGTGATGACAGTGTCATCAGAAACCAGTGTCAGTTGTCTCACAGTCGGTCAGTCATCTGGCTGGAAGAAAGACGCAGAAGATTCTCCTTATCACAAAGTTAGAAGGGTTGCACTGGACAGTATATGCAGGTGCGAATAAATAAATAAATAAATAAATAAATGAACAAACAAAAAATAAGGAATTGGAGAACATTTTCATCCACTGTTTCCAGATTGAATTAGAAGTGTTAGTTTTTGTGGAGAGAGGTAAACCAGAGAATCCAGAGAAAAACCCTCAGAAAAACGTGAGAACCAACAAAACACTTCAGTCCACTTATGATGTCGGATCCAGGATTCGAACCCAGGACACATTGGTGGGGGGCGAGTGCTCAACCCACTGCACCATCTCTGCTCCCGCCACCTGCTCCTGCCTGTCTGTAATAAAATTACTGTAGCTTCATTGTCAGTAACATGTGCAATATACTTGTCTTACTCAAGGACATAACCCTATAACGTTTTATCATAATTTTCTAATTTATTAGTATTGTTGCCATGATTACAATGTACTTGCAACGTTTTGTGTTAGGGCTCTCAAATCAGGGCAAGCCATTGATGAGAACTGTGTCCAAGCATTTCTGGCATCTGTAGCCAACAGACTCTACATATCAGAAAGCAGTGATGGCAATTCTACTCTGATATCAACTAGTGCCATCCTTACATTGGGCTATGTGGCTTTCATGCTTCACTCAGTACCAAAGACAACAGAGTCCGTTCTCGCAATCCTTCAGCAGAGATTCTGCCATCCTCCGTCACCTCTCGACCCTCTGATTGTGGAACAACTGGGTTATCTGATTCTCAATGGATCGGTAAGGTTAACTGTGCTACTTTAGAGTGGTTTTCAATGAAGTGTCGTAAAACCAGAAGCATTGAACCAGGTACTTACCAGGTAGACTACTCAGCCAATCTCAAACCGTAGTAAAACCAAAACCAAAGTAATAGCCTGTCGTGAGTGATAACTTTCGACACTCAATTGAAAATTGCCCTTTTACTGGTGTAATTTGAGTGCACATGTACAGTCACACACACACACACGTCACATTTTGAAAGTCTCGTCATAAATTTGCCATACTTTGACACACATGTAGTAATATAACTCCTTGACTAGAAATGGTGGAGTTTTGTCCAAGCTGCAGCTACAATTTGTCAATTTGTCAATTAAATTTTCAATAATATTTGTTATTTCATTGTACATTGTGACACTTTATTTACTGTTTTACTGTATAAATGATGAGTGTTGTGTGAACATTCTGTCACTTTTACTGTGCTGTAATAAAAACACAAATAGATAAGTGTACTTTTTTGTTAAATACATATTTAACTTATGAATTTAGAGTTCTCTCAAGTAACTTACTAGATGTTATAAGTTGTAAGTTTTTTAATTTTTAATTGCAGGAACAGTGTTATCAACAGGTCATGGGCATGTTTATGAAGATCACCGTGGATGCAGGTTCAATGGCTTACTCGCCTGAACCATCCATTAATGACAAAACAGAAGGTTATAGGTAAGACTCCAAATAAAAATAATGACCCTGCTGATCAATACAGTCCTTAGCTTAAGGAGACATTCCTGCCAGAGCTCTGGCATGCTCACACTTGGATAGGTTGCAATTTCTCCTCATGACTTTTTCAGTCTTGTAAGAGGCTTTGCCACCAAACAAAAGCAGTTGCGTTCAGGCTAGAGCTGGTCCAGAAATAAGCATCTACATGTAGTCCTGTGCAGGTCTGCCATGTACATGTACATATCGACATTGCTGCAATTCAAAATTCACCAACTAATACATACTGGTAACTACTTATCCTTGCCTTGCCTTGCAGGACAGCTAAGGCCATAAAAAATATATATATGTTAATGGCCCGGTCAATATGTGCCAGCAGCTGGCAATTTTGGTGCCAACAGTAAAGTATTTGCTGCCTCCCTGTGCTTCTTACTAGTCTTGTCCACAACCATTTTGTGGTGGTCATGCAACAGGGAAGGGAGCATTGCATGCCATCCCCAAAATGGTTTTGAAGGAGACTACATGTACATGTAACTTCACACTGGTCTTCACTAATCTTGGTTACCACCAATTAAATCTCTGGCCTTAATCACTTCCCACTATGTCTATTATCCTACTTGCTGTTACAAAACATTTTGACAGGGCTGTACCAAATGAAGATTTTCACAACCAACTGCATAAAAAGTTAGTGCTTGGCTAAATCACATGTATCGTAAGATTGGCTGGTGGGTAAAATAGATGCAATTTACATTCTTTTGTTGAGCACTCTATTTGCTTTGTCTATGTTTAGGCACTGTGGCCTTGCCGTAATCAATGCCTATTCTAATGTGGCTGCAAATCTTCAAGGGGAAGTGCAGTTGCAAGACTACTTAGTGAGGCTTCTGGAGCTGTTTGTGCAGCTGGGATTAGAGAGCAAGAGAGTCAGTGAAAAGGCTCCTGCTGCATTTAAGGTAAAACTGTGTGATTTTGTTCACAGAGTGCTAACAAGTTGTAACATGGTGATATTAAGATAAGACACTTTTTGAGATGATCAAACTTAATGTCAATGAGTGTCACAAAATTCAAGGTCTCAAGAGTCAGTCAGTCAAGCTGATTTCCTGTACTGTAAAAGGCGAGAGACCTCTCTCAAAGCACAAATTTGACACTAGCACAATGCCGCTTCCCTTTGGAATCTCTAAGAAGATGAGGAATTTTCTTTCTTTGGTAAACTATACTTAACCAGGCTCTTGCCTTTTAACTAGTATTTTAAGATCGACCTTTCTTGAGTTAGCAGTGAGATATTTCTCTTTGCAAGCAACATAGCAGTCCTGACCGCAGCCCAAAAAAAAAAAAGAAAAAATATGACTGAGGCCACATCCATGGTTAAATTCTCATACTAGTTATTTCGAATTGTTTTACTTTCCCCCTTCAACAACAACAACAACAACAAAAACAACAGAAATGATACAAACGAGTAAGGCAAGTGCCTTGCTTCGCCTTATACTGGCTTCGGCCCTGAATAGAGTATTATTGAAGTGTTTCCCTGGCAGACATACATCAAAGATTCAAGCCAAAAAGTTTCCATTCTGACGAGTCTGAGATTTTTGAAGTGGCTATGAGTGGATGTTTGGATTTTAATCAATTTGAATTTGGCACGCAAGTAACCAATCAAACACAAATATTAACTAATTTATTATTAATATTTATATTTATTCTTGCAGGCTTCATCAAGTGCTGGAAACCTTGGTGTGCTTATCCCTGTTATATCGATTGTGATGCAGCGTCTTCCAGTGATCAGCGACCCCAAGCCACGCCTTCACAAGCTGTTCCGAGACTTCTGGCTGTACTGTGTTGTGATGGGTTTTGGAGTAGAGGGTTCTGGTATTTGGCCTTATGAGTGGTACGAGGGAGTGTGCCAGATTGCCTCAAAGTCTCCTTTACTGCTTGGAACAGGTCATCTAAGATCAGAACTGATGTACAACTCAGCACTGCGGAATGACTCTGTAGCTCCAGTTAGTGAATTCTTCATTTCCTGAAGTCTTATATTTGCTTACAGCCAGCTTTGCTTCAAACACTCTTACTGGCTATAGACATTACTTATGCACACATACACGAATTTGCTTAATCTTGTGCTGTAGCATGCCCTGTAGAAAACACCAGAACTTTGTAATCTGATTTTGGGGAATCGGGGCTGTAGCCAGTAAAAAGCGAACCGAGGCACTTGTCTCTGTGAAAATATTTTATATCAGGATCTTGAAGAGGCCATGCGTTAAAAAAGGCATATGAAAGAAATGTTTTTGCTTTTCTCGATAATTAATGCCTACGTAAGAATTTCTGTCTGGCTACGTACGACCCTGGGAATCTTTTAATTTTTGAAATAGTATAAATCTAGTTATTGTAGTCATTCAAAGCTTTAATCTAAATCCTCTTCAAAGATACTTTGAAAACACAAAAAAGCGGCCCCCAGCGCACGCTGCTGGGCTACTCACTATCTACAACAGAATAGATAGTGAGTAGCGTAGCCAATTAGAAAATGACATTCGTGATAGAACGCTAGTAGAGTTATACTAAAAATATATAGTTTCCAAAAGTGGTTTTTGCATAAAACTGATTAAGGCGGCTTCATACAATGTAATATATTTAGCCACTTATTGGCTTTTCCTCCTGGAAATTCAATTGTCTAGAATGGATTTTTTTTCTTTATTATTTATCTCCTACCAGGCTGAATTGAATGAAGTCCGCACAAGTCTTTTGGAGACTTTAGGAAATCCAGCTGAGATCGTCACACTGGTCAATAAATTAAATTTTGGACAGTGCACTTACTTGCTGTCAGTGTACCGACTGGAATCTCTCAGGGTTTCCTCGGATCCTGGAAAATTTTATTCCATCTTTGACTACTTAGAAGACAAGGCTATTGAAAAGGATAAAGCTGGTATGTAAAATTGTCTGCTTCTTTTTTAATCATTGGTTAAAGCAGAACCTTTGAGAAGTGGGAGGCGCGTTGGCCACGTGGTTATTGCGCGTGACTCTAGATTGAGCGATCCAGGTTGGAGCCCTGGCCGGGGACATGGCGCTGTGTTCTTGGGCAAGACACTTAACTCTCACAATGCCTCTCTCCACCCAGGTGTATAAATGGGTACCGGCGAATTTATGACTAGCATCCATCTAGGGGAGGAGTGCAAATATTCCAAGACGCTTCATGCTATAAAAATCGGGATAAGCTCTGGCCTGATGGGCCACTTGGCTCGTATGCAGACTTTACTTTTAATAAGCATGGGCAATTCAACTTGAGGCTACATGTCATGAAACGGATAACTTACAGAAACCTAAATATACATGTAGCTGATTTGCATTATACAGTCACAGTAAGATTTTTTTCTAATTTTATTGGCGCAAAATATGTTGAGAAGCTAAACGTTGTGTGGGTACACATTAATGGTCTTTGATTTTAATTTCTGTGACCGTGACATTTCAGGAATCTGGCAGTGTATATCGGCGGTTGGGGATAAAGTTTTCTCAGTGTTTCTGGGTGTGATGTCCAATAAGCCAAGAACAACAGACAGAGAGACAGAACTGGAGCGACATGCACAGTTTTTGCTGGTCAAGTTTAATCACCTTCAAAAAAGAATCAGACGCGTTGCTGATAAGTATTTATCTTCATTTGTTGACAAGTAAGTTGACAGAGATTCATGAATGTGCCTCCTTTTTTTCGAATTATATACACAGTGTAGTCATCTCCTTTTATTTGGGAAGACACTTATTCAAATTGCATCGCGTCGCATCGCATGTCTTAACATCACATCGCATTGCATCGTATCATATCGCATGTTTTAACATCACATCGCATCGCATCGCATCGCATCGCATCGCATCGCATCGCATCGCATCGCATCGCATTGGGTGAAATCAAATCTTTGTTCTAAACAGAATTCTAATTACTTGAAGTATACTTTTGATTAGATAACCAACTCTAATAATGACATCTATGTCCCGTACATGAAGTAATAGCGTCCTTCAAACAATTCCCTAGGACAAGTTTGCACATTCTAAGTTTTTTGCAATCGCCATTTGTAAAATGTTTTTTACATTGAATTATCAGAAATGAATGTTGCATAAAAACTGTTTGTTTTCAATTAGTAATTATGAATTATGACTTCTATAACAAAGATGTTTTCCTTGTCACGTTAAGGTTTCCACATCTCTTATGGAATGGCAAAGTCCTTCATTTTATGTTGGATCTGCTTCAGGAATTGTCCAAGTGTCTAAACCATCCAGTAAGTTTACAAAAGTAAACAACTTTCATTTTGTTTTTTTTTCTCTAATCCTGATTCAATCTAAAAGATGATTTGAGGTTGAGACTTTCCCACTCTAAGAAAAAATATCCTGCTGACAGCAATACAAAATTTTACCTTACGGATAAAGCTAAAGACAGACGAAAAAGGGTTCATCTTTACCATTTGTTGTTTGCGGCCAATGTCATTCTTGTCACCTATCTATTTTTCGAGTATTTAACACTGACCAATGATGTTATTCTCTTCACATTCAGAATGAAAACCATCAGACAATTGAGATCAATGTGCCCAGCTCTGTGCCGTTCAGTTTGATTGTCCCAGAAGAGATGGACGGTCGTGAAGGGACAGTCAGAGATTTCGCAGCTCGTTGTAGTGGTATAATCATGGAGGCGATCAAATGGGCGCCAGAGACGACAAGATCACTACTGCAGGTAGGCAGAATGAAAACTGAAAAAAAAAAAAAAAAAATCTAGAAAAGCCCCTTTCTTTGGAGCTCGCCACCCCGCGGAACCTCCCTCTAGAATGTCAATTTTGTATTAAACTAATAAAATATATAACGTACTCTGACTAAAGATATTTTTTAAAAAAAGTTTTTGGCTGCTAAAACTGCTCTCTCCAACGAGTGAATTAATGAAACAGGCGTTTAAAATTATAAAATAATAATATATATTGTGTGATAAAAAGAATATAATAGAATAACATTGAGGAACTACATGACTAAGCAGCTGTCTACCACAATTCTAGTCGTTTTTTGTGGAGATATCTTTAGAAGAAAATAGAAACAACCATCTATTTTATGTGTGCCATCTGATTTATGATTTCAATCACCTCCCCTCTCCCTTACCTTTCCTTTCCCACTTTATCCCCTCCCCTCAATAATTCACTTCCCCCCCCCCCCACTTCTCCTTAGGGGGCTTACACGCTATCTACAGTTGGGTGCGTGGGCCAGTAGGGAAAATATCTTCGTTTGTGTATTTAATTTTAATTTCTGTTTCATTTACGGCAGGATTATTTCATGAAGCTGGAGAATGCGTCTCAGGGTGTGTCTTATCACACTGGTCTGTCCCTTGCTACAGAGAATGTGCTGCAATACGCTGGATTAAACCCTTCCTCTATCGCTGTTAGTGGTGTGTTCCTGGAGAAACGACCAAACTGTGTGAAACAGGACAGCTCTCAGATGGTGTCAGGTCTCACACTGAGGAGTAGATACCTAGGAGAGGTAAACAGAACTTTCCCTGGTAAAATTCTAAGTGAAAATGCGAAATACACAGTTTGTAAGGGGTTTTCACGGATTTCGTATTTATTGAAAGGTTGCTGCAGGTTACCCTTTTCATAAACGGACCTTTCTCATAAATGGCTTTTGTAGTTATTAAATAAACCTTACTGACCTCGTTTTTGGGTTGATTATTCAAATGAATTTTTACTCTCAAACGAGGTTAGTGAGGCTAATGTAATGCATACAAGATAATTTTGAATTGGCAACCATTAACCAAATGGGTCTATGCGTATCGCAGATAACGTCTTTGTTATTATGATCTGTAAAAAATATTTTCTGCTTAAGAAATTAAAGGAAATTATGCTGTACGCTGAAGGTTATTCCCCAGTATTGCATTGCGCATCCCTACTGCGCATAATTTCACGCGTGATTAGCGCGCGCGCAGTAAAGAATGGCGGCTTTTTCTTTACAGCTGGATCTCGCCATAGAGGTAAATCGTCATTTTCTCGCAAACGAGTATGGTGACCTATTATTTTTTTCTGTTGTTTTGAATTGAGAAATAAATTTCTCTGTGTAAAATAAATATGGACCAATTCTCAGTGTAGAACAAAAAGCAATCGTCGGAAACGTGAATTTAGCAAGCAATCG